TTTTTTTTTTTTTTTTTTTGCCCCCCTCCACGTCCTGATATTTTCCTGTCAGTGATCTGGTCACCCTAGATCAGGGACATCCCAGGACAGGAGCCAGGAGCACTGTGCCAGGGAGGAATCGCCTGAGAAGGACAGGCCAGAGCTGGACCCAGTATCACGGCTGCCCAGAGCTGCATGGGGCTGTGAGTACTGGGGCGTGACTGCATTGGGAACAAGGAGGGAGGCTGCTAGCTAGTTAAGTGGGGAAGTGGTTGCTCTGTGTGACTTTGCAGAGAGCGGCAGAAGAGGGCACTGGAGGGGTTTGCTGGGGAAAGTTTACTGGTGCCGAGGGTGACCAGGAGCACCCAAGACTCACCACTGGACTGGAACTTTGCTCAGGCCTCCTGAACTCTGTGTGCAGACACATTGCTCGGTGTCTGCTCCTTTCTCACTGTGCTACCACAGGGCCTTGGTTTGGATGCAACCCTCTTTTACTGCTCCCCCTATATTTCCCCTTGTTGATTTTTCTCCTCTCATCCCTCTGTAAATAAATATTTCCCTTTCTTATATCCATTGTACTTTTCTGGTGGGTGGGTGTGTTCACTCGTGGGGGGGTTTGAAACAGGTGCCCCTGGGGTGGAAGGGATTTTTCCTGCTGCATTCCTGCACGCGCATTCTCTTGGCCAGAGCTGCCTGCAGAGTAGACTCCATCTTGGTCATGAGGGCTCTAAAGTTATGTAACGCTAACAGACCCGGTCGTCGGCGGACGGGATTGAACCGGGGATCTCTGGAGCTTAGTGCATGAGCTCTACTGCCTGAGCTAAAAGCCAACTGCCTATTAGCTACGGCAGACTCATTTCTTCTCTCTCTCTCCACCACACACACACTCTCTCTCTCTCTTTCTCTCTCTCTCTCTCTCTCTCTTTCTCAGTGGTCTCAGTGCCACGAGAGGGGACAGAACACCACACCCAGGAGGAGTGTGGGTTACAGTTACATAGAAATAAGAGGAGGGGTTCTTGTTTACATAAGGGGTGGGCAACCCAGCTTTTATCACCATATGGAAAAACTTTAGGTTAGTGTAAAGCAATGTAACAAGTAGTTTCACAGAAGGAGGCCTGAGGTCTGCATGCAAAAATGTGTGAGCCATTTTCAAGGGCAATTTAGACAGGCACCTGCACAGTTTCTTGCGTGCATAATTTTGCTCACTTACTGCACACACAGATGTAGGCATTCTTTTAAAATTTATCCCAAAGGGTTATTTTTACCCTTGCATGTACCTTTGTAAATCCTGATTTCAGTAGGATTGCCTTAGTGTAACTGAGGCCAAAAATTGGCCCAAAATACATAAATAACCTAGAGAAAACTTATCTCAAGACAAAAATAGTTATGGAGTGATTGACTCCATTCATAGCTTTCCTGTATGAGAGAGCTGCTATCAGGACTTTCTCTGAAGATTTTTTTCTTGCTGCTTTTACCTTTTCTATTTCTCTGTCTCTCTGCAGAGGTTCTGGAACAGCTGGGACTCGTGGAGATGAGGCTGAGAGAGCTTTTGCTGAAGCCTTATTGCTGCTGACTTAGAAACAGACTGCTCGCCTTGCTTGAAATACACCCCTTTGCCCAGGACCAGCGCAAGATTTGTGGACCACGTAAGTACCTGGGGCTTAAATTGGCTTTGCATACTGCACGCATCTTATGCTGATCCTTAAATTGCACCACGGAGAGAAAATTATAGATCCCAGAGGAAATCACAGCTCTGGGAGGGTACATTCTCCATCAGCGGACTTTTTGTTACTAGCTTACCCAACCCTCAGTATGGCTTTGTGTAGGGTCTGATACACAACTTCCACTGAGTTTAATGGGAGTTTAATGGTATGTGTGGCTTTTTTTGCACAACAGAAGCTGTTTCTGGAAGCTTCTGTTTATTACTGTCTCTGAGAATCGCAGATCAGGAGCACTGAGCTGTTTACCAGGCTGAAATTCTGCACAGACTTTTTCTGATTGCCTTTTACTTGGGGCAAGAGCAAAGCCAAAAAACAGTGAAAATATTTGTATTCTGGATTCAGTTGCTAAATCCAAGTGGGAAACCATTCAGGGGAAAAAAGATGTAATGAGCTCAGAACAAATGTAATACGCTTAAGTGCTTAATTTTTTTTTCTTGAAAATATCTCCTTTGGCTCTAATTAAACTCTCCCTAGACTCCTGGGCTTTGAAGGACTTTTGAACAGCAACAGAAGAAAGATCTTTCTTGCTAGATTTAAATAACAATTTCTTGCAGTTCTATGTGCAAACCTTCAAGAAATATTATGGCATGTGACAGTCTAGCCTGTGGTTCTTACTTTCTGTGAAAATACTGCCAATGTTAATATTTAGTATTCTACATTTTTTTTTCCTGCTCAATATAATTCACTTGTTCCTGAGCTACAACCTCCCAGTTCTGATGGGGAAGGGATTTGCTCAAATATATCTTACTTGTGTTTATTGGGAATCATTACAATTACCAAGAATAGACGGTGTGTGAGATTGGGGATATTATTTTATTACAATATCACCTAGAGGTCCCAATTGAAATTAGGCCCCCGTTGTGATAGGCACTATACAAGTATAAATTGAGAGAGAGTCTCTGCCTTAAAGAGATTACCGTCTAAACAGACAAAGAGGCAAAGAATGGGAGAAAAACAATCCTCGTTTTACTGATTGGGAAGCGAGGCACAGAGAGATTAAGTGATTTGCCCAAAATCACACAGGAATCCTGTGACAGATCTGGAATTGCGCACACATCTTCTAAATCCTAATCCAGTGCTTTAACCACAAGGCCAGACTACCCTAGATCCCAGCTCTACAGTCTGTACCTGTTGGACTGGGAGACACCTGTGTTAGAATAAACTGGTTTGTTTATACTATGAGGTAAGTAGCTCATGAGCTTTTGGGAAGACAAAATTTGCTTCCCATGAAAGCATGGAGCCCTCCTCTGTCAGAAACCCACTTGCCAGGAGTACATGAGAACACAATACTGATGCTGGGTCTGTCATGTAGCTCTTGTACATGGTAAGTTTCAGGTCAGGCCCTTGTATCACATAGGACTACAGAGCTTCCTTCTCCGGAAAACACCAGAGATGTGTTCATTATAAGATCTTTCAATGCTGTGCTTATTCTAGCTATTACTAGCTCAGATAAGGTATGTTACACGTGACACCACCTAATGGCTGAATGGTAGAATACAGTTTAGCATTCCATTACAGGGTCAGACTTGCATCTGAAGAAGTGAGGTTCTTACCCACGAAAGCTTATGCTCCCAATACTTCTGTTAGTCTTAAAGGTGCCACAGGACCCTCTGTTACTTTTTTCAGGGTCAGATACAATACTCTTTATGCAAAGTTTTCATACTGTCTAAGCCTATGTCTATAGTTAAAATGCTACAGCGGCACAGTGGTAGCACTACAGCTGTAGCAGTTTTCCTGTCACTGTATTTAATCCACCTCCCTGAGAGGCAGTAGCTTGGCAATGGAAGAATTCATCCCTCAACCTAGCACTGAATACATTGGGAGTTAGGTCTGCATAGCTACCTTTCTCTGGGTTGCTGGAGGGCCTCAAAGAGAAGTGAATTGCACTCCAACGCGAGGGCTGACTTGAACAGATTAGTGACTTAAGTACCCACTCTAGGGCAACACAACTGCAATCAGCACTGGGGCTTGATCTAAGGCCTAGTGAAGCCACTGTACTTCAATGGGATTTGGATCAGGCCCTGAGTGACCAGAGAGTAAGTGCCCTTTCTCTCAGCCAGGGTTGCCAGGTGTCTGTTTTTCAACTGGAACGCCCAGTCAAAAAGGGACCCTCGTGGCTACAGTCAGCTCTGCTGACCAGCCCATTAAAAGTACGGTCAGCAGGGCTAAGGCAGGCTCGAATCCCAACCCACTGCCTCAGCCTGGAGCCCCTTCCTGCACCCTGAACTCCTCATTTCTGGCTCCACCGCAGAGCTCGCACCCCCTTCCACACCCCAATCCCATGAGCCAGTCCGGTGAAAATGAGTGAGTGCGTGAGGGTCAGGAGAGCGAGTGACAGAGGGAGGAGGGATGGAGTGAGAAGGGGGGGCAGGGCAAGGGTGTTCGGTTTTGTGCAAGTAGAAAGTTGGCAATCCTACTTTGAGTGTGGATAAAATACACAATCCTGTGTAAAGGAGGAGAAATAACAGTGCAGTGTGGTGATTTGATTTACTAAAACTCACTCTGGCTTGCATGGTGCTCGAACAGTGTGGAAGCAGAACAGAGTTTCTTAGATCTTGCACTATATAATTCTCTAAATCGTTCATTCTGATGTCCTCGCATGAGCAGACTAGGTACTTAAGCCGTTCATACATATGCATTTTTCTTGTCTCTGGTGCAGGGAAAGAAAATTGCTATTTTTCCTTCCAAAGTAGCTTTCATTTACAGAAGCAGCGAGAAAGGAAAAACAGAACTTCCTTTTAGTAAAATAACTTTAATTCAGTTAAAATCATTGCTGCTTAATTAATCAGATGTAAATTAATTTTGTAATTGGGACAGTCATTTCATTACCTGGATTTGGTTTTCCAGTGTGATATTGTGTTGAGCTGAAAAACCTGCAATAATAAACATTAAACATTACTAAACCCTAATGTTCACATTTTGAAGGCTGAGATTATGTAGCAACATAACCTATGAAGTTGTGTACTACCATAAGCAATCTGCAAAATAGATAAGGTCAGATCCTCAGTTGGTGTAACTAAACATAGCTTCATTGACTTCAATTGTGCTATGCCAATTTCACCAGTAGAGGATTTGGCCCTAAGGCACTTTACAACCCAAAGTCATTCATACAATAGTCACTAAACATTTTGCTGACTTCATGTTCTGCAGCTCTAGGCGACTGCCTTGCCATCCTAATACAAAGCTTGCCCTGCTAGTTGTTCACCCTTTACGAGAAGACAGCAACTCACGTACATCAATGGACAAGTTTACATGTTGCCTGGAGACATTTGCTTTTCACATGCTCGAGCAAGTTTAGCAAAACACTGATTATCCATTAATAATATCCCAGTGGAAGTGAGCAGGCCTTTTTAGTCTTACCTGCAATTCCAAAGAATTAGTTTCAGGAAGGAACTGTGGTGGGTTTTTTTTGTTTTTGTATTTTTAAGGTTTCTCTCTGTATTTTAAAAGTTCAGGCAAACAAAAACAGTCAAACAAGCAGAGCTAGAAAGTCAAAGTAGCCAAGCCCCCAGGCTCGTTCTACATCCCCAAAAGGTTATTAGGCACAGCGTTAACATCAATTCAGTGTTACAGTGAAACTTAATTTCTGTTACATTAAACATCTCCCCATGCTCTATCTTGGTCCAGTGCTCTGCACAAGGTATAATTCTGTAAGGTGTGGTACACACACGACTCCCATCCACTTTAGTGGCAATTGTGCATGCTCACTACCGTGCCAGAGGTTCTCTTTGTAGGATGGTGACTAATATTACAGTTAACACTATTCAAAATGCAGCATAAACAGAAAAGTAAATACAGACTTACTCTTGGATTATCGGTATAAGTTGTGTGCCAAGATCCTCACAATGAAACCATCTTTCAAACAGGACGTTGGTTGATTCTCCAACATAATATCTGACAAAGTAACAACATTAGTAAATCATTCCATTGCATAATGGTTATTTTCTAAAAAAAAAAAGCATCTTTAGAGTTAATGCAATGAACTATATTTTATTAATAAGTACAGTGCATTAGAGGGACAGTGTTTTCTAGTGGCTAGCATGGAGAGTCAGGACTCTTCGGTCCTATTTTCGGCTCTAACAGTCTTGCGGAGCAACCTTGGATAAGTCACGGAGAGTGGGCGCCACAAAGGGACTGAGGTATTGCAGCACTGAGTGTCATGGTGGCTAACTTCTAGGCACCTAAAAAAAATCACAGGAACAACACTGGGATCCACAAAGCAGTTAGGTGTCTGGCTTCCCTATACAGTGAACGGTGAGAGAGAGGCACCTAAGAAAGCAATTCACAAAAAGCCAACATGCTAGGTGGGCAGCTGTCTAAGCTAGCTGAGGGAGATGCTGAGGAGACGGGTGTGTGGTAAGCCCTGCCCCTCTCACAGAGATAAATCCAGGCTACCGGAAGGAGCCTAAGTGCCTATCTCTGCTTAGTGATCCATGAATGGGAAACTGCCCTGGAGTCAGGTTGTTTAGGTTCCTCGGGTGTTTCTTGTGGGAATGAGTTAGGGCATGGCTACACTTGCAGATATAGAGCACTGTGAGTTAAACCAGCCTTCATAGAGCGCAGTAGGGAAAGCGGTTCAATCTGTCCACACTGCCAGCTGCCAGCGCACTGGTGTGGCCACATTAGCAGCTCTTGCAATGGCCACAGAGAGCAGTGCATTGTGGTAGCTATCCCAGCATGCAAGTGGCTGCAACATACTTTTCAAATGGGGGTGGGGTGGAGTGGAGTGTGACAGGGAGTGTGTTGTGTGTATGTGGGGGGAGTGAGAGAGTGGGTTGGGGGCGGGGCTAAGAGCATGTCAGCATGCTGTCTTGTAAGTTCAGACAGCAGCAGAGCTCCCCTTCCCCCCGACCTCTCTCTCTCTCTCACACAGCATTCCATAGTAATGGGTTGCTCTGTCTCGGAGCAGATAAGCAGCCGGCTGTCAAATGGAGCTTTCAAAGGCCATATCCAAAACAGTGACAAGAGTGGCCACTTGACTTAAGGGGATTATGGGACGTTTCTGGAGGCTGATCAGAGCGCAGTAATGTAACACCTCATTCACACTGACGCTGGGGTGCTCCAGCAGGGCGCATCAAACATTATTCTATTCACCGAGATGGAGTACCAGGAGTGCTCTAGCCATGGAGTCAGAGTGCTCTACATGCCTTGTCAGTGTGGACGGGTAGTGAGTTAGTGCGCACGGGGCTCCTTTAATGCGCTGTAACTCGCAAGTGTAGCCAAGCTCTCTGGCTCCCATATTTGAAGGCCCGTTTGAAGAGAATTAAATTAACGCAAACTAGGAACCTTTCAGTTCACACCCACAGCAGCCGCATGGGGGTGTTACAGAACACCACTTTGGTGCACGCTGCTATTCACACCCCTGTAGTCTGAGCTGTGGGGCAGGGTAGACAAGCCCTTTATGGATAGTGCTGTGCCTAATAAACTTAACAGGGATTTAGAAATAGCCTGGGGGGTTGGCTACTTTGAATTTCTAGCTTTGCTTGATTGTTTCTTTGCCGGAACACTTTTAATTTATATAAAAACCTTGTGAAAAAATTCGGTGTTACGATTAAACTTAATTCCAGTGCAGCCTCAAAAGTGAGATCTGGTGCCTGGGAATATCAGACTAGTGAAAGTGAGATCCATGTTAAACGCATCAAATACTGGACTGTAAGTTCCTACTCTTGATTTCTGTCATTGGTTGGCAGTGACAATGACCACTTTCTTATAATTAAGGTTTTACTGATTACCCATACAGGCACTAAACATGCAATCTGCATTATTTGTTAGAGTAGCTATTTACTGAAAAGTGTACTTGAATACAATTTAGTTTGCCAATTGCAAACAAGATGTTGGTTTTTTATTCCTTTTATTTCTCCACAGGTTATGAAAGCAAGAATATATCAGAATCAACAACTCTACATGAGCTTCTTAGAAACCATATGCCCCCTCTCTAACATTTACAGATTACATCTGGGAAGCAGAAGTTTTAACCAGGAAAGGTGATTCTATTTAATGTTGGTGAAGAACTTCAGTTTTAAAGTACAAATATACAAGGTTTCCTCAAGTATTAGTCTATTGTGTTTCCAGTTCAATATATCTTTGGTTTCTGGAAATAAACCAAGTGACTTTTTTTTATAAATGCATATGACTCTGAGCTGTTTTGAAAGGAAGATACAGTGCTGTAGCTGAACAGTATTTCAAGTATATTGGGTGTGCCCGTAACTCAGAATCCATTCAGGTGACTTTCTGAAAGCTGCTATTCTCAGTTCTTTTTTCTTTCTCTAGACTTCCCATTTGAACAAATTTATTCCTCTGGCTCAGCATATCTACTATAGGGAGTTCTTTTGGCTACTGTGACATGCCCCAATAGAAAGATCACAGCTCTTCAATGTCATGTTTTCCTGAATGTAGCTAATGAAAAAAACGGATAACTCTGTTACTGCTATTGTTTAAGTCTTCTGTAAATCACATGAATAGCTGAAAACTCAGCTTGGTCGGTCTTCAGGGGCGGCAGGTTTGTATAATTTTTGGTGGTGCCCAGAACGGGTCCAAGTCTCCCCCTCCCCCCCATGCACACACACCTGCCTCAAGCTCTGGGAGGGAGTTTAGGTGCAGGGGGGTTTGGGCTCTGGAAGAGAGTTTGGGTGCAGGAGGGGGTAAGGGATGCAGGCTCTGGGAGGGAGTTTAGGTGCATGGTGAGGGCTCTGGGCTGGGGCAGGGAGTTGGGGTGCAGGTGGGAGTGCGGGGGTGGGCTGTGGGAGGGAGTTTGGGTGTGTGCGAGGGTGAGGGGTCGGGCTCTGGGAGGGAGTTTGGGTACAGGGTGCGGGCTCTGGGCTGGGGCAGGAGGTTAGGGTGCGGGAGGGGGTGAGGGATGCTGTGCTTACCTTGGGCGGCTCCCGAAAGTGACCCTAACACCCCTGTGGCAGCTGCTCCTAGCTGGGGGGCCTGGGGGTCTCCGTGCACTCCTGCTCGCAGGCACCACCCCCACAGCTCCCATTTGCTGCCGTTCCAATGGCAGAGTTGGCGCTTGGGGCGGGGGCAGCGCACAGAGATACCCCACCCCCAGGGGCCGCAGGGACGTACTGGCCACTTCCTGGAGCGGCACGCCGTGCAGAGTGAGGGCGGGCAGGAAGCCGCTTTAGCCCCGCTGCGCTGCTGGTGGTGGTGGCGGGGGCCCCCGGGCCCTTTTAAATTGCCCAGGGGTGGTAGATGGGGCCGGGAGATGCTCTGGGGGAGGCATGCAAGGGCGGCAGGCTGGGCCGAGGCAGAGACCCAGCCCCGAACTTTGGTGGAGCCGGGTGACCGTGCTCTGAATATTCCTGGCGCACGGGCATCATGGCCCATACAACTCACCGCCCCTGTCAGTCTTATGCAGACAGTAACAACAATCCCCTTCTAAATTGGCCCAAGTCACTGCTATGACTTGCATTGTTAAACACTTAATAAATTCATCAGGGCTAAAAACCAAAGCTTGATCCTGTTCCCAGTGACGTCAACAGTAACACGTCTACTGATTTCAATGGGAAATCAATGAGCAACACTGAAAAACACAGAGCCATTCTGAGCTACCGTTGACGTAGAGATTTTTGTCTAGTAGTTAGAGGTGTAGACATATGTTCTGTTCCTGACTCCGCCACTCCTCCACCTCTCTATCTTTTGGTTTTTAAATGAAATTAACGATACAGTGTCCCAGTAATCTTGTAAACCTTGCTTGTTTCATGGTTTTAAAGTATTCTGAGATCCTTAGATGAAAGTTAGTATGGAAGTGCAAATATATAACATATTTATATAAGACATTTCAATGAAGAACACATTAGCTAAACCATTTACTAAATTGTGTGTGGGTAATAAATACATGCAATTTCCATTGGTAATTTATCAGGAAAGAAATAGAATACAATACTGTAGTGAAACAATAACTGATTCTCATATTTTGAAATTTAACAGATTAACTATATGTCCAAAATAGAAAACCATATTTCACCTAAGTCCATCTGTTTCTGTGTTTAGCCTTTTTCTTTCAATCACGAGTCCCACAGTATTTGCATATCTCTGAGGAGAATGTGGTATCCTGGCAGGTAGGAGAAACATCTGCCCAGACAAAGATATTGGAAACAATAAATATAACAGTGTCATGTAGGTTTATTTTCTTTTTTGCAGGCCTTGGTTCACCCTCTCGCTTATTCTCTATTCCTGTTGATATGATGTTTCTTGGCAACTGAGCGCACATTGATACCAGCAGCAAAACAGATGCTGTTGCTAGCTTTCTCAGGCTGGTGTCCTGTTAATGACAAGCTTTCATTCAGTTGCAGGCATTGCCTTCTCGGATATTGAGCTGCTCTCTTGCCAGCTGTATCATTCGTGGCTGTTAGACAATCAAAATAAAGAACCAACTGGTCACCCTACCTGAGATCTAGAAAGTTACTATAATTTCTGAGCTGTGGTAAGTGAAATTAAAGGAAAGCTTGTTGTTAGCACAACAGGATTCCTAAATTAGTCCTCCATTACTATTTCTCCAACATGGCAAGTGCTTATCGTTGACTGATAGGGCATGTGGTTCTCTCCAGACCCAACTGACTAATAGGAGGTACTTGATCTGACAGAAAAAAGACAAACTGTGTGTGGGTCTGCGACTGCAGTTTGGAAATAAACTTGTTTTCCAGCAGCTACCTGCCTAAGTAGGCTAGTGCTGTGGTTAAACCCTGAGACTTTGTAAATAAGTGAACAAGGATTTGCCCCATTGTCCTTGGACAAAATGTTCCCTCCTCCTCCACACTATTTCCAGTGTTGTGTCTGGCTGCCATTTTATATCCCAGTTGTTGCTGCTTTTCACTGAAATTTTACGTGCAATATATCGTTTGTGTAGCGGTTTGGTACCTTTTAGAATGGCATTTATTATATTGAATTCAAAATATTATTAATCATTAATTGATCATTATTTTATCTTGAAAGGTTTCAGAGTAGCAGCCGTGTTAGTCTGTATCCGCAAAAAGAAGAACAGGAGGACTTGTGGCACCTTAGAGACTAACAAATTTATTAGAGCATAAGCTTTCGTGGACTATAGCCCACTTCTTCGGATGCATATAGAATGGAACATATATTGAGGAGAATAT